ATATATAAATCATTTATTGAAACCGAAACGTTAAAAGAAAGTAAAATAAAATGCCAAATAATAACAAACTGACAAATTATAAAATACAATCACTTATCACTCATCTTAATAACCAATGAGACCGTTGGAATCGAGGTAACCGCTTTGGTAACCCAACTAACGTTTTGTTAACTTAACAAATAGATTTTAAAAGTAATAATGGTACGGTGAAACTTATTTCATTTAACCAGATGTTAAATTTAAATGAATTGTTAACTAACACTGTGTTATGATAGTGTATTTAACAATATTTGGTGAAACCGGCTGTAAAAGTATTTGAACTTTAAAGATAAACACTAAAATAATAAAAAGCTGTCCCTGAATGTAAGTAAAACGGTTTTTGTTGCCTTTTTATTCAGAAATGTACATATTGTCCGAATTACAATCTAATCGTGTAGAGTTTTATACACAAAAAAGGATATTGGTACACCTTTTCTTAGACTATAACAATAACTTCAAACTTTTAATCAAGTTTAGAAACGCATTTATCGAATCAAATATAAAATGTTGAGTACACTATTGTGTTATTGTTACTTTATTTTTGTCTTGGAAATTAACACTAGTATTTAACAATATTCGGTGTGACCGGCTGACGGTGTTGCATCTCTGTATAATATATTTTTACAGTTTTTTTAACAGTTTTCACTGCACTTTACAAACGTGTGTCAACACGATATCGTCGTTGGCAATGGTCGCGTGCAACGAGAGACGTGTGTAAAGGGGGGCAAGGGTATCCCGTATATAGCTTGGGACTTGTGTGTGTATGCCATATTATCGTTGACCGCAATCGTTTTACATGTACAAACGCATTAATTAACTAAAACCGGAGGAGAGACTCGATGGCGACGCCTTCGTGTTATCGGTCTCATATTATTATAATATTATTATTATACAGCACCGCGAGACCCTTTTACACACGAGCTCTGTAGGATATAACATAATAATAATAATAACGTACATACACATACACACACGCTTACGGTGTGTAAATCATACTCACGTGTAGAATAATACGAGTAATGTATTCTCGTGTGTCTCGTGTGTTAAACGTCCACAGCTATTTTGCTACCTACTACCGCTGCCACCACCCCATATATAGACAAACGCACTTCGATCTTCCATTTCTTTTATTTTCATAAGAAGGTAATAATTGCAAACCGCTTGTCCGGCGAGGTCCTGAGGGAGCAGACGAGGGGGGGGGGGGGGGTCATTAATATTATCATTGTTGGATAAAATATTATTGTCGTCGTCCCCTTTGGCAATCGATATTATACAAGTCGGTTCTTTATATTATTTTTTTTTCATTATTCCAACGCACATCCGGCAATTTATCACCACTTTTTCAACGTGTGTCCGGTATATATGTATGTATGTATACATTAGCCTGTGCGCTGTAAAACAACACGTCTGCTGGTCTAACCCACAAAGCTCTATAGACAATGCTGAACGTATTATGTAAAGATGGCCGATTTCTTACTTTGCCACTGGCTTCTTAATATCCGCATAATAATTGTAATCCAGCGTTTTCAATAGCGTTTCCTTGACTTTTTGCTCCTCGACGGTATAAAGCCACTATAGGGGCCCGAAACAGTACAAAATCATTTTTTTTTTTTCAAAAAAATCGTCCAGTTCCCACAAAATGTGTGAACATCTCAATGCATGCGCATTGCATATTATCATTTTTTTTTTCTATTGTCGTGTGATGGATGTTGCAAGACATCCGGCGAAGACGAGTCCGCCGAGATTAGTATATTATAATACAAAAATAATAGGTATATAACGTGCAGGGGTAGCAGGGGTCTGTTGTATATTATATTATTGTACACAGTAATCCGACGACACCTAAGCATGCGCACATACACACAATGGGCATTTTGGGGGGAGGAGGGGGGGAAAGGAAGAATGTCTCTCCAAAACGTCACCTGTCCATACGTCAACGGTATTATAATACTTATTATAATATGTGATAATGTGTCGTTTTATATTATGTTGTCTCCGGTTGAAAAAGTCCACTGCCCGATTGTCCACTCACGTACCGCAAAGCTGACAATTGATATTCAAATTTCAATACAATGACCATCGTTTGTATACTTACCCGACCCCCCCCCCCCAAAAAATCGTATTCTGTCATAATTAATGATACACACACACACGGGCAAAGCACACGACCGGACTTACATATTATGATAATAATAACATATTGTATGGTGTTTCGTCTTGGCTTTGGTCCGGCCGCTGTTCCCACGGGGGCCAAGAAGTATAAGTCTTAGTTCAATAGATCTTTTGGAGCATTTACACAGTAGATCATCGCTCTAACGTACTAGTATTTACAGCCGTCGCAATCTTATAGACCTATAATGAAATAGACTGATAGATATGACAGAGAGGTTCGGCTGGGTACCTCTAAGCAGAAATAATATGATGGCAAAATAGTGAATTTGATAATATCCATCACACACCATTGACATGGATATGTAGTTTATCATTCGGTTCTGTTTTGTTTGAACTACTAGACATTAATATTGTTTTTTATACCATATTATTATTAAACAATGTAATTTTTAAACTATATTCAATACATGTTATAGCTTGATGCAGATCCGTGAGGAAATTTCACTCACAGACATAATGACTTTTTAACATTGTATACATTTTTGAGTTTTCTACTCAAGTACGTTTATACTATTAAAATGTACAAAAAAAAATGGTGTAAAATAATGATAATTTACCGACAGTGATGTTTTTTGAGTTTGTACAGAAAAAACTGTTTTTCAAAACACACTTACATGTATACACGAATTAACTTGATAACTTCATTAAAAAAAATTTTAAAAAATTGTAGCATGAACTAACAAGAGTGGGATTTTTAAGTAGTGTCACATTTCGGTTTAAAGAATAATAAATTAATTTTAATACTGTATATTCAGCGGATTGCTATTATGTAATTTTTGACTCCTGTACCTAATATTATCGTTACAGTAATTTGGTACTCGAACGAAGGGTATGTGCAGTAGTTATTAGACCAATGCACAATGGCACTTGGGACCTAAGCAAACCGGTGCACAAGGCATATTATTTTCCGGTGAGACCGAAACAACCGTGTAATTAATAGGCAGGCCCGTTGTAATAGTAGTGAAAAACCTATCTATAAAAATAGATTGTAACCATCAAATTTGGAAACGCAATGGAGAACGTGGCCCCGAGTTACCAAACCCAGAAGCTACGCGGTCTCATTACATGGCAGAGTGCATCGATAATAGCATAGAGCATAAAAAGAATATATTATTATTATTATCATCATTATAGTGCTCTGAGACGTTTGAGCTGATGACCGACTAAACAATGGAACCGAATACTTGCTACAGAACCGAACCTAGCACGCTATATTATAGCCAGATGGTCCATTTGTATGTGTTAAATCCCATTATTATTCATGCATGCCACTGTGATAACAAACGTTGTTAGACTTGTAAGAAATAATAGTACAAAATACAGGCACACTCACAGAAACCAAGGCTGAATCAGTGACTATGAAGCTATGTGTAAGACACCAAGGAAGCGATGGACAGATGGGGTGAGAAAGGATTTGGAAACACTGGAAGTGCCGGATTGAGGTGATCCAGAATAGGAAAGATGGCAGATCAGTGACGGTGGTGGCCAAAATTCTTAAAAGTTTGTAAAGCCAAAGAAGAAGAAGACAGCAAACTTTGATTAAAATTACCAGCAGTGTAAGATATATTAAGCTATCCTATTGCATAGCTGATAATCTGATAGAAATAAATAAGTACAATTGTTGCAATTATTCTTTCTTAAGGCGTCCATATATAGGAAATACTTTATATTATAGTCACGAGGATCCTCATTCGATTTGCATCAGCTATTCCTAATTAATATTAAATACCAATGCCAAGAAAGACCGGGTGATCGATCAAACGTTGTTGTAATATTATTATACATATTTTATTATTATTACTAACGAACATAATCCACAGATGTTTTTTTCTTTCTCTAAAGTATGCATAATAAACACCACTGCGAACGTCGATCCACGGTCTGATGAACACCGATTAATTTTTAATTCCAACGCCAAGCATAAAATAATACTCAAGACATTAAATAATAATATCAACCCACTTCGATAACACTGTCACCGTCACTGTGTTTGAACAGATAGAAAAGAACCGCTTATCTATCATTATTTCTAAACACTTCATTGTGTCTGGTAATGCGAACATAAATACTAATTTTGTAGGCCACTGGATTTTGGGAAACCCAACACAAAAAACAAGAGCAAATGTAATATCTTTGCAAAGGCATAGCCAAAAAACAGATTGATTAAAATTTTAAATTTAAACTTATATGCCGGGTTGCATCAAATATTTACACAGAGATAAACTCGTTTAACTGCTGGAGTTAACGAAAATTCTGTTGCATAAACCATGTTTTAAATTTTATCTGTTGTTGAAAATGTATGTATGGTTAAATTTTGTTATCAATGTTTCGCTTTAAAGTGGTGATAATGGAATTGTACGTTATTAGTTTATCGTTGATTAGACCCTGTATGATAATAATATTAACTCTGACCGCTGATACCATTTATAAGATAACCAGCATACTGGTAATAACCTGAATATAAAACAACGATTGAGCAACACTGGTAAATGTAACACATGTTAATTTGACAAAAGCCACGACACACAAAAGTGGTATAACATTTTTTTGAAAACATTGACCTGCAAAAAAATTAAAATTTTCTTTTTGCTATTGTGAAGTTTTATGTTTATTACCTAGTTTAAAGTGTGTAAAATAGTAGTTTTTTCAGGTAAATTATTATTAAGTCATAACAGTTCTATTGATATTAGGTTTGATAATAAACATTTTTAGTTACTAACATAATATAAGGCAAAGGACAGGGCAAATTGTACAAATTAATTAAATAATCTATTAATTATCAACAACCGTTTATCTCTATTGAAATGTATGTATATTTTTAAATTAAAACATGTATGTAATGCAATATACTCTATTACACACAGTATTCTTTAATATTATTTTTTAAGAAATATATAGTAATATCTGGAAAAATATGTTTCAATTTTTCAATGGCAAATTACACACTTGAGTAGATAGTTGAGTTTAAATATGAGAGAACCCGGTATTTCTGTGAACAGCCTATGTTTCTGTATGTATTTGAGAAAATCAAAATTAATGCCGCCTGGAAAATTTTGAAATAATGTGTTAATCAATAAAAATGACGACTACAATGGTGTACTTAAGTATTACCGATAGTTGAACCGCTAGTATAATTAAAATCCCAGTATATATCTGCCATCTGGAAAACACATTATTCATTTGAAAACTATTTCTAAAAAACATTTAAAAAATTATATTTTTTTGTATTTAACATTGTCGCTAATTTTTTGAGGACAAAATTTGAATATCATCTTTCCACCTGGTGTTGTTATGTTCAATATTGTACTAATAAAGTAAAAACAATATTTGAATAATAATTATAACTACCAACCCGTTTCGAAGCCGGCAACATTTTCAGTATTTCGTGGTACTCTGTCGATTCAATTGGTAATTTTTCTACAAAACGGTTTGTAGATAATTTAAAAAACCAAAAATATTCAATAAATAGTTAAGTTCTTTACTACCGTCGTGGCCGACAATTTTGAGAACTTCTAATACTTCTTTCTTGTCTACAAACAGCACCTGAAACTTTTCCCCTATTATGTTCACAAAATCTTCACTCAAAACGTTGTTATTTTCAATTAAGTTTTCATTGTCATCTTCACTTTTTCTCTAGAAAAAAATTTAAGAAGCAGCTGTTACACATACAGTTAGATATTAAACTTTCAGTCACAACCAAAACAAAAATATATATTAAGGTCTATGTGGTTGAGGTAAATTCGACTGAACACAAAAAAAATCAAAAAAAATTCTATAGTGCTAAGTATGATTCAACCTTTAAAAAATTTAAGCTCTAATTACTGCCATCATAAAATTGTATAAACATATTATCTTCTGGAAAATGTTAAAACTAGATCAGCCTCTACAGTAACAAAAAAAACTGAACAAACCTGTGACAAAACAAATATTATCGGTTTCATTTTTTTCACCTGTTCCAATCCTATTGTATGGTTTTCTAAAAAAATAATAATTAAGGCACTTGTTGAATGAATATTTTGGTAGAATACGGTTCTTTTTTTTTATTATTACTCTTAAAATTAATTAAATATGAATATATTTCTGCGTGGCGAACGGTGATAAATACTTTGAACTCTTTGTACAATAATTTCTGTAATTCCGTTGCTGAGATTGAACCACTATTGTCGGTGTCATATTTGTAAAACATCTCCTTCCATTCCTCAGTTGTCAAGCTATTTAGGTTTGGATTTATATTCTAGAATAATATTATGTACAGGGTTAATTTTCTGGAAATCGTTTTATTAATGTGAAAAGTTAAAAGTTTTAAAATTAAATGAAAAATCAATTTTAAATATTTCTGAAGTTTTCATATACATACCACCCAAGAAGTACCATCATCCGCTGCAAAACCCACGACACACATAAGTAGTATAATATTTTTCGAAAACATTTTAATTCAAAATATGTACGTGGCGTGTGTTACGAGGACCAGCTAGAAAATTAAAATGGTTTTTGCTATTTTGTTATAGTTAACTCATATAAAACAGTGTGTTCGTACCAAGTTTTATATTTATGGCCTAGTTTGTAGTGTATACAGCAGTTTTGCAGTTACACAAATTAAACAAATAATCTATTGACTATTAACAACCGTTTAATCCTGTTGGAATGTATCTAATGTATCTAAAGTAATATTCTTGTGCGTAGCTACACTTCTTAATATTATTTTGAGAAATATATTGTAATGTCTAAAACAAATTTACATTTAAAAAATATGTTTTTGGCTTACAATTAAAAAAAAAAAAAATACTAAAAACTTTACAAGTTATTAGTATCTATTATTGAGAATGATTGTAGAGTTTAGACATTTTTACTGAAAGTCAATGGGTTTCCTATTTACTTAAACTATACTATCTAGTTATGTAGATTTATCCATAACGTAACTAATTAAAGATTGATATTAGATAAATAAGGAAAATATTTAAACACAACGTTAAACAAATCCGGAGTATAATACTTAAGCTATAATCCAAAAAAGGTGCATTGGGTAAACAGTTGTTATTGTAATACCCTCTGCCCTAGATCACAGATTTGTACAGATTTTTTTAAAACACTTTAAATGAATAATTAAAAGGCACTTGGTTGTTAAATTTTTGACATTTCTATATCTTTGCTTTGGCACATACACGGAAAAATTGACAGTTTTTTATTTACATTTCTTATCATAATGAAAATATCAGCTGATTTATCTGATAAGATAAGAGAGATAAGTGATAAGGGTTAAGAGATATGTTTAAAGGGGTGGGGATGGGGTTGTTAAATTGTTTAAATTATGTGTTGTTTTCACAACGAACGAACTTGAATGAATGGTTCTAGCCATTTTTTTTTTAATTGGTTTAAAGTTTTAACGGTCTATCGACTTGAATAGCGCTTATTCTAATTGTAAATTTTGTTCACATAGCAATTTAGATCTAGTAGGATGGCAAAAGTTGGTATGTCACTTTGTCAATTTAGGTGTAACTAAACTGATGTTGTAATGTAAGTATTACACCAAGTGGCAAAACATACCGCGTTCGTTATCAAGCTAATGTTCATAAGTACATTATAGGACGAAATAAATCGTTTGATTTGTTGTCTAAAAATGATACGTCCTTCTGCCGCCACTCCTCCCCAACATAATGTAGTATTATAATAATACTTATAAATGCAATGTTTGTATCGAGTTTAAAACCGTTAATACCTTTAGCAATATTTGTATGGAAATAAATACTTTTGTAGCGTCAATTAAAAACATTAACAAATTGTATATAGTCCAGAAAATATCTGTATCTGTGTGTCGTGTTAAGACACTTGAGCCGGTTTATGTGACAAATCTGAAGAAAACGCGCATCAAGACTATTGTCATATTATTATTATACATGTACAACCTAAAGAGAGTTTATTAACCGCGGTTTTAAGTTACACCGGCTCGGGTGAAAAATACAGAAAATAATAATATAATATACGACATGTTTTCCAGTTTTCAAGATTCTCCTCTCCTCTCCCCTCCCCTCCCCTCCCCCCTACAGTGTATTCCACATGGCCGGCCAAACGACACGGGTGGTCACACGACCTAGGTAATCCTTCCTATTATTATTATTATTATTATTATTATAGGTAGCTTATAAGCTTATATGCGTATTTTTTTTTTTTTTTAATAATCCGAATACTCTGACGAAATATGCTTGTTATATTGTAATATCCGACAATACGATTGTTTAGAGAGTATCGGTTTACACAATAATAATAATTTATAATCTAGCTGTTATAATCCAATACAACATTCATAACGCAATAAACAGGTGGTATGATTACACACTATATTGAAAGTATCAAAACGTTATAAGCTGATAACAACGACTTGCATAATATGATTTTGGATATACCTCGGTATAAGCGCGTGCTAGTAATAATAGTCTTAAGTCGAACACACACTCAATACTATGCTAATGAATTTGACTTTTAAAACCGCATCGCTCTCGACATTTATTCGACAACGAGTCAAATAATAATAATAAATATATATATTTTTTTTAATTTATAACAAACACATTTTAATTACATATTGTATTCTTAACTAGTATTTATTTTGTACTAATTTTATGTAACTGAAGTAGCGTTTTTGTGGAAATCTTGATTTTCTTATTCCCATCACTCATCCGTGTATTATATAATAAAAATAATTTAATTCAGATGGATATGTCCTGATAATTATATGACTTTTTCGGATCTATAATCTCCTTGCGATATATTATGATAGTATGGTCTTAACTATATTATGTTCTGGCCAAACGTTTTTTGGCAACTTTTGTCAATATTTCCGTGGTTCGCCAGTAAGTAAGTGCCTACCTAACAAAATATTTATTTGACTATCCTTATATATCCTAATTTATTATTATATCCTTTTATATAAGAATATATCCTTATGTATCATAATCTATATATACATAAAATAATCTCTCATCTCTTATCAAATAATTATTTACTACTATATATCAGGCCGTCATTAGTGGTCAAATTAAAGGCAAAATACCTTAAATTTTTATGTATATTTTCTTAACAATTTTCATAAGAATTTGTAAAATATTATATTGCAAAAAAAAAACAATTTGTTATGTTTTCAAATACATTTTTCTTCGGATACTTTTACAACACGGACTTTATTTTAAGGTGCATAAGTGCATTTGGACACTAGTAGTACAGTAGGACATTTAAAATGTGTATTTTACTAAACGAATATAAATAAAATTTAAATTTTTGTCTCGATTACTTAATCTGGAAAATAATTAGTTTAATTATAAATTTGGGTAGAGGTGGGTTACTTACATATTAAACAAATTTCTCATACTGACTCTTAGAAATATCATAACATGTATTTTTTTTCTATTATAATAAAATTAGCTATTTTGTTTAACTTTTCAATTTTGTTTGTATTTGACGTCCGAATTTGTGTATTTTGTGCGGGCAACAATAATAGATATTTTATTAATATTTTAGGAAGAGAGAAACAGAGATTGATATTATGATAAACAGTAAAACTTAATAGCAGCAACCAACAGAACAAAAGGAATGTGGAAAACAAACGCCAAAGAACAAATTGGTTGCCTGTGCGTGCGCGTAATTGTACCTAACACAGAAGCATCGTAGACATTACGGATAACCTCTGAGAAAGTTAAATAATAACAATAATAGTATACGGAATACCACCGTCTTGATTAGTTTTGTTTTATTACACAGTACTTACTGTTGTCAGTATTTCGGTAAAAAAAACAATGATCACGAAACTGAAATTATTTTTTTTTAGGCGCAGGTAAATGCCGTGCTGGCCAAAATCGAATAATGTAAAAAAAACTTTAATAATCTCAGGTCAACAAAGAAATGTTATCAAAACATCTGTAACGTTATCACCACCAACCATCGTTGATCAACTACTTGTTATCAGTCATTCTTATCAGTTTACGTTGTACAATATTTTCGGCGCCATAATTTAGCGCTATTGCGCATTAAGTTTAAACACCAATCGAACAACTTTATTTTGAAAACTATTGTTTTACTATTGAGTGCACTATTTGCATCAGTGCTTGGTGAATATTGTTTTTTTAAATCAAGACAGACAATATATTATAGTGAACAATCTCGTATGGTCAAACATAGAAAATAACTCTATGCAATTCATCATCACGGTGGCCAGAGGGATGACTAATCCGCTTAATACCGTAGCGTCGTTAGTATGATGTCAAGATTACACCAATTGTTGTATTGTATCAAATGCAATGGGGATTTTGTCACAGCCAAATCAACTTGCCTCGAACTTGGGGTGAAAACACAGCCCAGACAATTATTGTCCACGATCGCCCAAAATAATTCTTCACAACGCTTCATTGTAGTAAACAATGATTAATGGCCGAACACTTGAATGTGTCCCCAAATGAACCGAATCAAATCACAATCGCATAACTATGTCTTGTATTATAATATCAAATACTGTCGTCAGTGCAGTAGTGGTACAGAAATTAATCAAAGCAAACAATAGCGCGACTTGAAGACAATTGATAAACGCATAATAACCGTATTAGTGTGTGTAAAATGTATATTATTTGTACAAATAATTTATGATCAATGTTTTTATGTAAATTCCCTATGGGCCACAGATTTTAAACTAAGATATAATAATACATTGTACTGTTGTCGAATATATATCTTAATGTGCACCCAAATGGCGGTTTGGTTGCGAAATGTTTAATCAATTTTAATGGCTACGGATTGGTAATCAAAATACTCCTACAAATTAATTACCACACTATTCGGTTACACTACCCACCTTACTATTACAGCCCACACGGCTTATAGTTAGTGCTAGATTTTTTTCCAAATTAAGTTTTCCTCATAAAAGCAAACAAAACGTACTCGGCTTTAATTGCTTTGCCCAATAAGTTTTTATAAAAATCCATTTTACACCATAATATGAAAATAATTATCGTTTATCAATCATATTGTATAATATTATAGTAATTAATAGTGTTTAATTTATTTAATCTATACCTAGCCTATTTTTACCAGCAATATGTAACACAAGAAAATTACAAATCTATAAGGTTATATTATGTATGATTATTCGTAACGCCTTACACTAGTTTAGAGGTACTCTTACAATAAATGAAACACTGTAGTTGTTCTTTTTGAAAATATTTTTGTTTATGGTATATTATTAAATCGATGAAAATATTTGTAATTTTTACCTTTTTTAGAATTTACTAGAGCTTTATGCACAAAGATAAAAATTACTCTAAAAATAATGGGTACACATATAAGACATTATGAGTACGCCCACCATAGCCGCCACTGTATAACAAACAACAAGTATTTTTCAATGATTTTACACGGTATCCGTTGCGATAACACGAAAAATGTTTTAACAGCGCTGGTTTTTTTTTTATGTAAAATTTATTGGCCGGGAAAATGCCACACGCCCGTTTTAGCGTTGTAGACGTCGTTTGTACTTAAGTAAGTTTCATGTTGTAAATGTGTTAAAAATACAACGAAATTTAATATGAAAATTGTATATAACGCCGCATGTAGACTTTCATGTTTTTTAACTTTTTTGATAACTATTAAAAGTATATAATACATTTCATTGTTAAGCGATTAATTGACGAAAATTTAGGTTATCGTGGATATGTTATCTCATATCTCTTATCAAGAGATATGAGATAATTGATAATTATGTCTTATCACCTATCTCTTATCAATTATCACTCGTCTCTAATCTCTTATCTTTAATCTCCTATCTGTAACTGAAAGTGAAAATATCCATGTTAAAATTGTGTTTTTATCGTTTACAAATTTTGAAACTTTTTAGTAAATGAATTGTATTATAAGGAAAAGTTCTGAAACATCGGTTTCGGAAATCTGCTTGGCTGTAGATAAATTTAATTCATATTTTGAATCTTCATGACAGGCTCTATCTATAATGAGCTTATGATCAACTTTCTGTCACTTATACTTGTTTCAAATTCAAATCGTTTACCGCGTGGGGTCGCTTGAAATCAAATCTTTTATCAAATAATCTTATATTAAAAATCTTTTCACTATTAACGTGTAGCATTAGGTATTTTTCCTATTCACAACAAGCTCTTAAAATTATTTTGTAAGTTAGGTTGGTATTACTACTGTGGAAAAAGTTCTTTGTGGTATAATATTTTTGTTTGCAAAAAGCGGTTCTATCTAATATTCGATTTCGAGTTTCGTTTAATCGATATTATTATTTAATTACCAAGTTTTTAATTAACTGTTGAGATATTATTATAACTTCTGATATGGCTTTTAATAGAGCCTTTTGGATCCAAATGTATGTACTAATGTTTCCTCTAAGGTCTACGACCTTTTTCTTAACGCAACAAATAATACTTATAACTTTTGTTGTATAATAATATATTACATATTAAGCAATTATGTACCGTAAACGATCCCAATGATTATAATGATTATGAAAAAATTCATTTAAATAATGCTCACATATACAGGGTGATCCATCTGATCTGTAAGACACGCGTTTTCTGGGATTGATATTTGCTAATGATAGTGATAATGCTAATTGATAGACAAGCGGTTCTTATGTACCTAGTTAACATATATTTTAAGTATAGGGTGAAAATATTTAAAGAATTGAATGATATAGTGAAGTAATTGTATCAACAAGTACAAGATGTGTCTTGCATCAGATGGATCACCCTGTATGTTGACTGCAACAGTATCACCTGATAACGCCAGTACGCTTATTTTGTTCTTTGTGCACCGGTCGTTTAATTAAATGCAGTCAATTAATGATTAATATAATAGTGATAAATATGTTGTACTTTACACACAGACAAACTCGGTAATTTTATACTCCTGTTGAAAGGTTTGAATGAAAACATTTAACACATAATAATATTACATAACAAGGTCATTTCATTTGTATTACATACATTATATTATTACGCAACGTATGAACATGAGCTAGAAAACTAAAATAGACTCAAAATGTACTACTAAATATTTGTATACAACCGTTTTTTGTCTGGATGATACACAAAATATAATTGCGTACACTATACTACTGTATCTATGACGTTTGGGTAAAGAGGACTTAGCCAAACAATGTAAATTTAAAGTTTTTCAGTTTAAAATATAAAAAAAAAATGTTTTACTTAACTTGACGGGATAGATCGTAAGATGATTTATAATCTTAATATCCTTATGTGAAAAATTAAACTTTTCCCAAGTGATCTAGGTCGACCGAAATAGGATATTAACTCACGAAATCACTTAAGTCTAAATGACACAAGTCTGTTGAAAACGAGTCGAGTTGACTTGCCCAAAAATATACCGATACAGCTGGTTTTTGTCAATATTGCCATTTTTGATATTGATTATAAGTCAATGAAATATATGTGCAAAAAGGAAAAACTCAGAAGAAATGTTAATTTTTTGTTATCAATTTTTGTTGGTTGACAAATTTTTGAATTTGGCCTTCAATATAGTACTATAAAAATATATGTAGAATTAAAACTCGTGTTGCCATTTAATAAAAACAATCAAGTACAACCATTTTTTTCGTATAAGATTAAGTGTAGTACAATATAGTACAATGTGTACCTAGCGTGTAAAAGTACCGTATTTTTTCCATTAACATATTCCCAGAAAACGAGTGTCTTTACCCAAAATGAAATTTATATTTCAAAATTAAATGTATTTTTTTGCGCTTGCCCAGGTTGGAAAGTTAGACCATAATTTGTTCTGGACTTGCACGTTCGGATAGGCGCCTTTTGTGTGTGTGTGTGTCTTGGCAAATCCGTATAAAGTTTAAAACTTCAAATGCTCGCCTCGTGTACCATTGTATTGTACCGGTGACCGTATACAACGGCTCTGGAAGTGGGCGGCGGAGGTCCCGAGGGAATGGTGTATTATGCTGGGCTGGGCTGGGCTGACTCATCAGGAGAAGCGAAAAAAAGTTTTAAACGGATTTTCGAAAAAACAATCAGCGCCCGGCCCGGGATAAAGGGTGGAAAAACCCGCCGCCAGAGGTGCGCGCCCGTGTATAGGCCACACACACACAAAACCGTACCTAAGTATATATGTATACAGGGTGATCCAACTAACGTAAGACACTCATTTTCTCTGAAAATATAAATATTTTCAAAAACATTTTTTTCCTAAACTTTTAGGTACATATTTTACTACTTTTTTCAATATTTTGAACATTTTTATCACCAGTTCTTATACGCCAAAAAGGGGGATTTTTTTTTTTTTTTTAATTGGCAACATATGTTTTTAATTACATACGTTTGTAGACAAAAAATTTAAAAATTATGTTAGCGTTTGAAGTTTGAATTTTCATTTATTTGTTCATTTGTTATGACTTTATAAAGATTTGATTTTTTTACTGTATTTCTTAATATTTTCAATCGTTACTACAAAGACGAGTAGTTTTATTACATTGCATACAAATAATTTGACATGTTACCGTACTCTGTATCATAATCAGATATAATAAATAACCTATAATCTAAGTAATCTGTAGATAAGAACCTTTGTCTATTTCGAAATATTTTACAGTGAATTCCTAGTTGTTAGAATGTTATCGCCAATTGGACAATGCGAACATAAATATGAATTTGATGTGCTACCGGTTTTGGAAAACCGAAGAAATATGATTATTATTAAGAGGAAATGTAGTATCTTAACAAAGTCATGACTAATGAACAGATTAATAAAAATGAAAAATTTTAACGCTAACATAATTTTTAATTACGTAAATTTGTAGACAAAAAATTAAAAATTGTCATGACTTTGTTAAGATACTACATATTTTCCTCTTAATAATT